TATGTACACTATCATGTCATCTGCAGACAATGATAATTTTACTTCCTCCTTTCCTGTTTGGATGCCTTTTATTTCTTTTTCTTGTCTGACCACTGTGGCTAGGACTTCCAATACCATGTTGAATAGAAGTGGTGAAAGCGGACATCCTTGCTGTGTTCCCGATCTTAGTGGGAAAGCTTTTAGTTTTTGCCTGTTGAATATGATGTTGGCTGCAGGTACTTCATATATGGCCTTAATTACGTTGAGGAATGCCCCATTTATTCCCATTTTGCTGAGTGTTTTGATCATACATAGGTGTGGTACCTTATCGAATGCATTTTCTGCATCTATCGAGATGATCATGTGGTTTTTGTCTTTTCTTTTATTTATGTGATGTATTACGTTTATTTATTTGCGTATATTGAAACATCCCTGCATCCCTGGGATGAATCCCACTTGATCATGGTGGATAACCTTTTTAATGTATTGCTGGATGTGGTTTGCCAATATTTTGTTGAGGGTTTTGGCATCTAAGTTCATCAGCGAAATTGGCCTGTACTTTTCTTTCTTTGTAGGGTCTTTATCTGGTTTTGGGATTAGGGTGATGCTGACCTCATAAAACGAGTCTGGGAGTCTTCCGTCTTCTTGGATTTTTTGGCATTCTCTGAGGAGGACAGGGGTTAGCTCCTCCTTAAATATTTTGTAAAATTCTCTTGGGAAACAGTCGGGTCCAGGCCATTTGTGTGGCGGGAGTTTCTTGATGACTGCTTCAGTTTCCCCAGCTGTTACTGATCTGTTCAAGCTTTCTGTTTCTTCCTCCTTCATTGTTAGAAGATTATACTTTTCTAGAAATTTGTCCATCTCATCAAGGTTTTCCAATTTCTTGGCATATAATTGTTCATAATAGTTTCTGATGATCATTTGTATTTCTGTGGTATCAGTTGTTATTTCTCCTCTTTCATTTCTGATATTATTTATTTGAGTCCTCTCCCTTTTGTCCTTGATGAGACTGCTTAAAGGCTTGTCGATTTTATTTATCTTTTCAAAGAACAAGCTTCTGGATTGGTTGATCCTTTGAATTGTTCTTTTCATCTCTATGTCATTCAGTTCTGCTCTAATCTTGATTATTTCCTTCTGTCTACTTGCTCTGGGATTTATTTGTTGTTGTTTCTGCAGTTCTTGAAGTTGTAGTGTTAGGTCTTTTATTTGAAGTGTTTCTATCTTTTTTAGGTAAGCCCGTATTGCTATGAACTTCCCTCTCAGGACTGTCTTTGCTGTATCCCATAGGTTTTGGCCTGATGTATGTTCATTTTCATTTGTTTCCAGAAATTTTTTGGTTTCTTCTCTTATCTCATTATTGACCCATTCATTGTTTAATAGTCTACTGTTCAGTCTCCATGAGTTCACAAGTTTTTGAAGTTTCTCTTTGAGGTTGATTTCCAGCCTCAAGCCATTGTGGTCTGAGAAAAAGCTTGGTATTATTTCAATTTCCTGAATTTGCTGAGTCTTTCTTTGTGTCCTATTATATGGTCTCTCTTTGAAAAACTTCCATGAGCATTTGAAAAGAATGTGCATTTTGCTTCTTTGGGATGTAAGGTTCTATATATGTCAGTTAAGTCTATTTGATTCAGTACATCATTCAGCTCCACAATATCCTTGTTGATGTTTTGTTTGGAAGATCTGTCCATTTTTGACAGTGGGGTGTTAAAATCTGCTACTATTAGTGTGTTGCTGTCTATATCTTTTTTTGAATTTGTCCAAGATTTTCCTTATATATTTGGGTGCTCCTATGTTGGGAGTATATAAGTTTACAGTGTTTATGTCTTCTTGAAAGATTCTTCCTTTAAGTATTATAAAGTGTCCCTCTGGGTCTCTTTTTATGGCCTTTGTTTTGAAATTTTTTCTGATATAAGTATTGCAACCCCTGCCTTCTTCTCTTGCCCATTTTTGGAATATTTTTTTTCCATCCCTTTACTTTCAATCTGTGTAGGTCTTTTGCTCTGAGGTGGGTCTCTTGTAGGCAGCATATGAGTGGGTCATGTTTTCTTATCCATTCAGCCATCCTGTGTCTTTTGATTGGGGCATTAAATCCATTTACATTTAAAGTTATTATTGATAGGTATTCATGCATTTTTCCTCCTTTGCACCAGAGTTCCTTTCTTCTCACTCTTTTTCTTCATCTTCTTAAACCAGTCCCTTTAGCGTATCTTGTAGTGCTGATTTGGTAGAGATGTATTCTTTCAGCCCTCTTTTGTCTGGGAAACTCCTTATTTCCCCTTCTATTTTAATTGAGAGCCTTGATGGGTAGAGCAGCCTTGGTTGTAGGCCTTTGCTTTTCATTACTTGGAATATTTGTTGCCATTTCCTCTGGCTTGTCGTGTTTCTGTTGAGAAGTCAGCTCCTAGCCATATAGGGGCTCCTTTGAATGTTACTCCCTGTTTCTCCCTTGCTTCCTTGAGGAGTCTTTCTTTGTCTTTGATATTTGCCATTTTAATGATGATGTGTCTTGGCATGGGCCTCCTTGGGTCCTTCTTGAATGGGGCCCTCTGTGCCTCCTGGATCCATGAGACCTTTTCTTTCCTCAGATTGGGGAAATTTTCCATCATGACTTTTTCAGAGAGGTTCCCTGTCCCTTGCTCCTCTTCTTCTCCTTCTGGTATCCCTATTATACGGATATTATTGCTTTTCAGGTTGTCCTGCATTTCCCTAAATGCCTCTTCATTCTTTTTTAGTCTTTTTTCCATTTCTTGTTCTTTCTGGGAGCTTCTTCCTACCTTATCCTCCATCTCACTGATTTGATCCTCAGCTTCATCTAGCCTGCTTTGGATTCCTTCTACTGTGTTCTTCAATTCAGAAATGGTATTCTTCATATCCTCTTGTGTCTTCTTGATAGTTTCTATGTCCTTTTCCAGGCTGATACAGTTTGCTGTAAGATCCTGATAGTTTCTCTGCAGTTTCTCATAGTTCTCTTTGAGCTGGCTGAGCTCATTGAGCTTCCTTAGAGCCATTGTTTTGAATTCATTATCTGATAGTTCCCTTGCCTCTGTTTCATTTAGCTCTCTCTCTGTGGAGATTCCCCTTTTCCACTTATTTGGGGGGAACTTTTTTTCTTCCCATTTTTGTTAGAGTGTATTATTTTTATTCATTCATTCATTCATTTTTGCTTCTGCTTCAATTGCTCCATCTAGAGTTCCTGACTTTGTGAATTAAATTTCTATGGTAGTAGTTGGGTCTTTTTATTTATTTATTTATTTTTGCTTTACTTTTCTTTCTGGGTCTGCCTCTGATGATGTCAGTTGTTGACCCTATCTGACCTTGGGTCGTTTGTTTGAGACTTCCAGGAATTTACTGTCTGTGTCTGACTCCTGCTTTGGGCAGCTCTGTGATCCCTTTGGCCAGGGATCCACTATTTCTGCAGATGTAATTGCGCGCCTTTTGGCTCCCGCGCCCACTTGTGCCTCTTTAGGGGCGTGTCCTACCTCCGCAAATGGGGACTACGGAATGGGGAGGGATTCTGCTCTGGGGATCTCAAATAATCCTCCAGTTCTTTCCCCAACCCATCTGTTTCCAGTCCCTCCTCAAGGGTCTCTCTGCAGCTGTGTGTCCCCTTTGGCCAGGGATCTTCTATTTCTTCCAGCCAGTCTGCACTCAGCCCCTAGCCCACATGCACACAAGCTGTGTGCGGAGCATGCAAAAGGCAAGTTAATTGATTCTCTTATGCCTGGGTGAGGTGGTAGCTGCAGAGTGTGAGGTGAGTTATGACCGGCGCTCTACTGGCGACCATCTATGTTCTCTTCACAAAGTTTTCCTCGCCAATCTTGCCTCAGGCACCAGCCCACTCTCCTGCTGCCTCTACCCAAAGATCAAGGAAGGTGGCTACCACTGAAAATTTTTGCATTGGCCCTTTAAATGTTTCTTTGCATCTCCAGCCACCTGTCTCTGGCAGACAGTGCCCCTAAGCTTTTCGGGGTTGCACTTTGTGAGTTTTCCTAGTTTCAGCTGCTGTAGTCTAGGAGTCCCTGTTTATGGTTCAGATCCTGTTCTTCTCAGGGGGATCCAGCTGGCCATTTCAATGTCCCTCTGGTGCTGGTGCCCGTGGGTGCCCAGCCCACCCCACCCTCTCGAGCCTCCACCGCACTTCTCACCCGTTCGGATGTGTGAAAGTTGAATCTACTGTCTGTCCGCAGCTCCAAGGTTCCTCTCCCTCTATCGTTCCATTGTTTTCCAGGTGATTTCTCCACTATTTAGTCGCAATTCCAATTTGGTCTTGGGAGGAGGTCAGCGTGACTCCCATTCACTCCTCTGCCATCTTTTTCACTCCATAAATACATAATTTCTTATACATGTATTTCTATATAATGTGTTCTTTTAGACTTTAAAAACCAATACTTAGTTCAGTTATTGGAAAACTTTAAAGTATATTTGGAACAACTTAGGTATATAAATCTACAAACAAATTTTATGAAATGTAAACATGGATCAAATATTTCCAATAAAAATTTATTATTTAAATTAAAATGTGCTGTAAGGGCAAAGTATACCCTGCATTTCAAAGGCTTGGTTTAAAAAAAGAATGTAAAACTCTTTATGAATTTTTTAAAATATTGCTTATATATTAAGATCATGTTTTGGGTTTGCGGGGTTTAAGAAAATGTATTTAAAATTAATTTTACCTATTTCCCTTTTGCTTTTTAATATGGCTACCAGAAAAAATAAATATCACATTATATTTCTATTCAGTGCTATTCTCTGGAAAATAGAGTAGTAACAGAATGACTTTGTTTACCTTCATCTCACACATTCATAATTAGTAAAAGATTAGAAGTAAATGCATGTCATGCATTTTAGCATTGTCACATATATATATATATAACATATATATATATATATATTTTCGTGTATACCATTTTCTATTTTGCTTCTCTCACAAGTTTTCCATTAAAAGAAGTTTCATTGAAATGTGTTTCCCTGATAAAGTAATCAGTTCTATTTTGAAACTTACTTTTTCTTCCTTCCTTCAGTTTGCCATCCAAAATAGGTTTAGGCACCGGAGTAAGGAATTTCCCCAAAGGGAGCATTGGCTGGACTGGGCCAAAGAGAAGTATGATGTAAGTGATCATTATTGCTACAGTGGTCCCAGTGACCTTCCTCTAGAAAGTGAACATCCACAGTTGCAATTCATATTGTTAAGGCTTCATGGACTAGATTATCAGCTGTATGTTTGGAACCTTTATCATCACATTAAGTAAGACTCTGGGAGTGTGATTTTTTTAATATTGAAAAGAACTTGATAAAGAATGAATATAATTTATCTGGAAACAATAATATCTTGTCATAGACTTTCATCTGGTACAATGTACCAATTATTATATGTAATTGTGATTACATAACTTTAGTTTGAATAAAGAAGAGTTAAATGGTGGTAGTGGAATTTACATTTAATGAAATTTAAATATAAATTTGGGTAATTTACCCCCTAAACAGACATTTTCACTCATATTTTAAATAGCATAGGAAGTTTGGTTTTCGAAAGAAATCTGAGGTAGGGTTTTTAGAACTGTTAATCACCACCCAAGTTGTCTCTAGATGCAAATAAGTCTACATTGAAACTAACATTGCTGCTAACTATAACACAAGTCAGGTCTGATTTGTCCCTCCCCTACTCCAATACAGGAGCGGCTTATCTCTCAAATTAAGATGGTTACAAGGGTGATGTTCCTGTACATTCCACTCCCTATGTTCTGGGCCTTGTTCGATCAGCAGGTAATGTGTAACTGTGTTTTTGTACATCTTCATGCAGCAAACATCCTTTGGTCACTACCACGTAGCAAGCCATAGTTAGTATCTAGCTTCTAAAAAGGTTCTCTTCCAGCTTCTCTTTTATTTATTTATTTGATCATTTAATTACATTGCATCTCTCTCTTTAAAAAAAAAGAGAAGAAGAAGAACTCTAGATGCTTCTATCCACATCTCTTTTGCAAAACAATGGAGAACTTAGATGTGGTCAAGGAGCCTTAGGAAAGATTTGATCAACACGTCCAAGACTCTTTTGAATCAAAACTGAAAATAAAGAAATAATTTAAAAAAGAAAATTAAACAAAAAACTGAGAAGAAAGAGATTTTCCTATTGAGGCATCATGGCAAATGCACATATTACCTTTTATGGAATCCACAGAATATTTAAAGTGACAGGGACTTGGTATCTTCCAAGCTAAAATGGGATGCTTGGTTTAGGAGTACCATCCAGGGATGCAAAGTTGTTCTTATTAGAGCAGGGAGCTAGAACCCAAATCATTGCCATGTCACCTCTTCTGTCTCCCACAGTGATAAGATGCATTCCTAGGAATTTTTCAACATAGGGTTAGATAATTCAATGTATGATGTCTACTAATCAAAGTACTAAGATATTATCCCTTTTAAAAACTGGAGTTTCAAAAATTTTTACAAACATGCATAATTTTATTGTGCAGGAAGGATTATTGTAAGGGTAGACCATCTCTTGGGAAAAATTTGAGTGTACACATTAATCTCCTTATTTGTAAGTATGGAATTTAGAACAACATTTTAAAGACCAGGGAAGCAGTTTTGCATGTTGAACACAAAGCAGTTATTTGATTTGGACTTGCACTAGTAATACACTCACCACCTTTTAGCTGTGTGACTTGGGTAATCCCATAACCCTTCTGAAAGGGTAATAATCCATGGCAAGGCTGTGAGGATCAAAATGGAGAACATACATAAAGTAATCAGGGACTGGCATTTATTCAGAATTCTAGCCCTAGCTGGTGTGGCGTAGTCGATTGCACACCAGCCTGTGAACCAAAGGGTCACTGGTTCAATTCCCAGTGTAGGGCACATGCTTGGGTGGCAAGCTAGGTTCCCAACAGGGGGTGCGTGAAATGCACTCACACATAAATGTTTTCTCCTTCTCTCTCCTTCCCTTCCTTTCTCTAAAAAATAAATAAATAAAACTTTTAAAAATAATAATTCTAACAATTAATGGCAATGTAAAAAATATACAATAAAAATGAACTATTTTTAAAAAAGAAAAAGAATTCAAGCAGTGGTGTATTTCATGTCTTTCTATGATGTTCTCCTGGTGGAGTTGATAGATTATATTGAAACATTTACCCCTTTAGTCCCCCATGGAAATAATCATATATACTTGTACAGTCCTAAGTCATCTTTTCCTATAAAATAGGTTGAATGTAATGAAGCTGCCCAGATTTAAATTTGTTATTCTCTTCATGGAATCACATTCTAGGACAGCCTAGCCTGTCAAAAATGATTCTTAGCAATAATAATGTTCTTGACACTATGATGCCAGTAACTATAGAATATCCTCAGGGTGTAAAGATACTTTCATCTTGCAGGCTACATCTTGCTTTCCAACAAGCCTCAGAAATGCATTTTTGCTTTTCCTGAGGAAAGCTTTATCTCAGAGTAGTACTTTGTGGATTCCTTGTGAGGGGCAGGGATACTATATGTCATGTTAACTTGTAGAGCAGAAATGCAAGTTGTTTCTCACCCAATATTACAATGGAACGGGAAGACGAACTTGATATTGAAAAAAATTGTAAATCCTGTAACATTTCAGACTTCCTTCCTGATTTGGAAGAGAACTCAACAATGACTTGTAAAATGTTTAAAACCCAAATGATGCAGTAAACTTATTCATTTTTTAAGGGCTCAAGGTGGACACTACAAGCAACAACAATGAGTGGGAAAATTGTAAGTTTGAGACATCAAGATATTTTACCTCCCCTGATCACTATTCCTTTTAGTCCCTTTGCCTCCTTTCCCCTTCCCTTTCATGAAATTTTCAACACCCAAGATGATCATCTGTGGGAACTAATCAATGAGACTTTTTCCCCCTATTTCTAGGGACATATTGAAATTCAGCCAGATCAGATGCAGGTAAGAGAAAATATTTAAGTTGCTTTCAGAGATCAAAGTCATCTATGAGACAACAGTAACAGTTCATCTTCACTTCACCTGCAGACTGTCAACGCCATCTTGATCGTCGTCATGGTCCCCATTGTAGATGCTGTCGTGTATCCTCTGATTGCAAAATGTGGTTTCAACTTCACGTAAGTGACCTGCAGGTTGGGGATGGGGTTGGGGTGAGGCTCCAGAAGTCCTAAGGCTTTGCAACTAGGCTGCACTCCCTCAGCTCCCAGGCCTCTGTAGAAACAAGTCTTTCTCCCCTCCTACAACACCAACTATATAATGGGGCTTTTAAAGAAATGCATTTGAATTAGATGTCTGTGTGCTGATGTTTCTGAAAATTTGCCCTTAAAACAAAAGGGCTATCTGTAGCAGCCTGTAAAAGCCTCTAATTAAGGCTCTCTTATATATATTGAAATTTGTTCAGAACAGGCTTCCCCAGGATGTGCCACTTTGGCCCATAGAGTATTTTGAACTGAAGGCAATCTAGACCCTGTGGGATCAGGAGAATCTTCTGACCCTCTCTGAACTACCTAGAAGAATCTAAACTGGGGGTCTTGAGCTGAAAACAATCCCAACCCAATGGGCTTACAAAAAAATGTTACCTCTCCCTTAAAGAATTTAAATTTGGGGTCAGTATCAGAAATAACCTTTTATGACTTATCTATATGGCAGGATAAACATCTAAATTACTGAACATCTGCTTTTCTTATTTTGCAAACTGTGCTCTTCCTCTCTGAAGCCTCAAGGCATCTTATATCATTCCTTGACTCAGGATGCCATATATACCTCATTTTCCCTTGTGTGTCTGAGCCTCTCACATATGTGGGGTTCCCATACATATGTATGCAATTAAATTTGGTTACTTTCTCTTGTATCTCATGTCAATTTAATTATTAAACCAGCAAAAAGAACCTAGAAATGTGGAGAAAAATTTCTTCTTCCTCTATTATCTAAGTAAGAGAAATGTTAACTGTAATCTCAAGTATCACCAGAATTATAATTTCTAGAAATGAAATATAAAAAGGCAAATGAGAAACTGTATTACATTTAGCATCCCTAGTCTTGGTGATGAATAACAGATGAAGAGATGCTTTCAGTCTCATGTGTTTTGGGAAGGAAGTTAGTTTTTTTAGGGGGGGATTGTAGGAGAGGGGAGCTTCTTTGAGGGATTTATCATTAGCTTGTTTGTTGGAAGCTGATTGGGACTCACTCTCTTGCTTGTTCTGTCAGCCCCTTGAAGAAGATGACAGTCGGAATGTTCCTGGCTTCCATGGCTTTTGTGGCAGCTGCAGTTGTGCAGTTGGAAATTGATGTGAGTTGCCCTCTGATTCTCCAGTGGCTTTTCTTGGCTCAGATCGGATGTTCAGAAGCCTTCCTTCTCCAGGACCAAAAGGATTAGAGGAGGCTATGATCATTGATAAACTAAGCTCTGGAACTATGGTCAATGTACCAAGGGGCAAAACAGTCCCTTTCTGATAGTGTGGTCTGAGGGTTCTTAGCTCTGGAAAGGATGCCAGGAACAGGGTCAAATGGGTATGCTTAATTAGGAGAAAACCTAGACAGCAGTTACATAAGGAGCTTCCATTGCACTTTTTATAATGGGAGAGAAGTTTATGGAACTTGTTCTTTTATGAACTCCTAAAAGATCTAGTTCAAAGAAGTTCAGCACTTACAAAGTACTTCAAAACTGTATAAATTGTCTTTCTGATGTGTGCCTTGCCTTTTGTATTCTAACTTTCCTTATAATGGTTTGTTCCCAAGCAAATTCCCATGTCTATTGGTCACACAATGGGGCTAAACTAAGCCCTAATGCTCTTAGTCTGAGATCAGGTCCTAGAAACCTGATCTCTCTCCCCTACTCCCCCTCTGTCATTTTCATTCTCTCTCTCTCATTTCTTCTCTAGTTTTTAATTTCTATTTTTTAATTTTTAAAATGTTTTATTGACTTATTTTTAGAGAATGGGGAGGGGAGGGAGAAGGATAGAAACATCAATGTGTGAGAGATACATCTATCAGTTGCCTCTCACACGCCCCCAACTGAGGACCAAGCTTGCAACCCAGGCATGTACCCTGACTGGGAATCGAACCAGTGACCTTTCAATTCACAGGCTGGCACTCAATCCACTGAGCCACGGTAGCAAGGACTCTATTTTTTTAATTTTTAATTGTGATAAAATATACATAACAAAATTTACTATCTTAATCATTTCTAAGTGTACAGTTCAGTAGTGTTAAGTATATTCACATTATTGTACATTTAATCTTCAGAGTGTTTTATATCTTCCCAAACTGAAACCCTATATCCATTCAACAAGAACTCCTCATTCCTCCTCCCCAACCCCTAACCCCTGGAAACCACCATTCTACTTTCTGTGCCTATGAATTTGAATATTCTAGGTACTGCATTAAGTGAAATCATACAGTATTTGCCTGTGACTGGCTTAATTCATTGAGCATAATGTTCTCAAGATTCAAACATGTGGAGCGTGTGTTAGAATTCCCTTCCTTTTTAAGGCTGAATACTATTCTGTTACGTGGATAGAGCACTTTTTGTTTATCCATTCATCTATTGATGGACACTTGGTTTGTCTTATCTCTTGGCTGTTATTAATAATGCTACTATGATCATGGGTGTACTCACTTGCTCTTGAACATAGCTAGCCTTGTGGAAAATGAATTGTGGGGCTAAAATAGAAATAGATTGCTTTAGCGACACTGGAATTTGAGAGAGAGCAGGTAGGAAAAAGGCAGAAACCCTGAGGCAGGAGGGCATAAAGCATTTGTGAGAGGCTGTTTAGAGCGCCAATCCAGGGCTGAAGTCTGTGCTTCCAGAGTTACAGGAGAGGCATCTTGGGAGAGCACATCTCGGGTGCCACACAAAATAAGCATTCATTTAAACTATGGTTACTCTAACCCCTCAGATATCAGGCTTTATAACTTAGGATTCCTTGACCTAGAGGTAGATGGGTAGGTCCAAGGTATGAGCAAGAATGGCCTCTTTCTGATTACTTTCATGTTCTGTGCAAACATCATTTTCTATGGGTACCATGAAGTGAGACATTTTCGGGGGCAGGGGTAGGAGAAAGGGGACAGGTGTTTGGTATGCTTTAGCCAGCACAGCTTTCCATGGCTAGGGAAAGTGATTCCAGTGCCATGGTTAAGTTATATTCCATACAAACTAAAGACCTCACTTCCAATTATGTTTTATTTTGCTCAGAAAACTCTTCCAGTCTTCCCCAAAGGAAACCAAGTCCAAATTAAAGTATTGAATATAGGAAATGAGAATATGACTATATATTTTCCTGGAGAGACGGTGCACCTTGTCCAAATGTCTCAGGCAAGTAGAAGGAACTGCAGTTTTCTTTTCCATTGTTTGATCTGAGGTATAATAGAATTTGTGGAAGCTGATCTTCTTGGTCCTTGTACAAATTCCAAGACTCACCCAGAAGTGAAATGTCTCAGTATTTTGATCTCCTTTTGGTTTCACTCTGGACCAGTGCACATCAAACTTTAAAGTGCATACGGGTTCCTGGGGGAGCTTGTTTAAATGCAGATTCTTAATTGGCAGTTCTTTAACCTCTGTTTGTAAAAAGCTTTTAGGTGTTGCTGCTGGTGGTGCATGGACCCACAATTTAAGTATCAAAGTATGTGTCAGTGGTCCTCCACCAGGAGCAATATATAATGGGAGATAAGTTTATGGAACTTGTTCTCTGCAATAAGAACTCCTAAAAGATCTGATTAAAAGAAGCTCAGCACTCACAAAGTTCTTCAAAAATGTGTCTTTTTGATGGACTTCTTCCCTTTTGTATTCTAACTTTTCTAATAATGGTTGGTTCCCAAGCTAATTCACATGCCTGTTTGACCCACAAGGGGGCTAAACTAGGCTCCTAGTGTCCTTAGTCTGACATCAGGTCCTAGAAACCAAATGTCATGTAGTTAAGAGACATCTGACAATCTCTGGAGACATTTTTGTGGTAACATCTAGGAGTGCTATTGGCATCTCTTATGTTGATGCCAGGGATGCCAACACACAGCAGCCCATCCCAACAAGGAGTGATCTGGCTCCATATGTCAATAGTGCCGAGGTTGTAAAATCCTGATGTGCACAGTCATTCGTCTGGATTAAAGATTCTCCATCTTGAGTCCATATTGGAATCTCCTGGAAAGCTTTGAAAATTCTGATACCTGGGCCCCGCCCCCACAGATTTTGATTCAACTGGTCTCATTCCTGTTTAGACATGGTTTAGAACCACTACCTTAGATCTTGCCAAACTAATAATCTTGAAGAAAAAAGAAAGTTTGACTCTCGATGCTTGGGGCAGCCCAGTATTGATTACCTCCAAGGCTGATGGTTTTCTTTGCCCAATGACAAACATAACTTCCATATCATTTATCTTCATAAAACAAAAGAAAAATGCTTGATAAAACTATACTTCCTGCGATAGTACTAAACCTCATGGCAGAGTCCTTAAGGGTTGGGGGCAGGGTGAGGGGCGGCTAAGACAAACCAATGCCAGCTCCCCCAAGGCATTTTTCAATGTATATGAACATACACTGGCAATGTCAAATAATATACCATGACACAGTTCAGTGAAACAGACCAGAGCAAGACTCTGCAGCGTTAACTATGACTCCTTTCCCTGTTACAGACAAATATGTTTAGGACTTTTGATGTGACTGAACTGACAAGTATAAACATTTCTTCTGCTGAATCACTAGTCACGCCAGTAACTCCTAACTTTGAGGAGGGCCATCGCCATACCCTTCTAGTGTGGGCCGCAAACCATTACGAAGTGGTAAGTAGCTGGACACTTATAGCTTACTCTTTAATATATGTGATATTAGAGACATGGCCTTTTAGTGGTGTGACTTTTTTTTTTTACCTATATGTAGCCTCAATTTCAGCCTTCTTGAAGGACATAAGTCATTTGACATCCAATAAAAGTTTCACTGGTGGACGGGAAGGATTAATATTAAAATTTTTTCTTATTAGAAGGGCAAGTGTGATCAAGGAATGTGCATAAAGGACCCATGGGCAAAGCCAAAGGGATGTAAGATTGAGGCTGGGAGATGGGGGTGGGTGGGGCAGGGGAAGTGGTGGCAGAAAAATGGAGACAATTGTACCTGAATAACAATAAAAAATAAATAAAAGATTGTAAGAAGGCATTAGATGGAAGGACCCACCATCCCTACTCCTCTGTAATGAGGAATTCCTGGCCTTGACCATACTGAAAGGTTCAGGCAATTGAAAAACCTGCAAGATGGAACTGGGACAACTGGAAGAAGAGGGAGATCCAGGACTCCCATCAGAAATGGATTCTGATTGAACTGAAAGGAAAATCCATGGGTACCATATTCTGAAATCTGAGTGTGCTCATGATACGCTACTTGTTAGAAATTAGCTCTCATTGCAAATCATCACAATATAATACTTAAAGCAAACTGTGCCAAATGTAATGACTGACAGAGTGACATGGGGTATCACCTTGATGTGATCAGAGAAGTACAATATCAGGCATGATTTCCAACCCTCTAAATCTCTGTCCACTAAGAACTCAGAACCTAAAATTCTACCATTGATACCTAATGTATTTTTCTTGAACAATGCTTTCTTTTTTAAAATTATTTTATTTTCCTATTGCTCAAATACATTTGTCTCCATGTTCCTGCCACGACTTTCCCCAGCCCCACCCACCCCCACCTCCTACCCTCAGTCCTTCCTCACTTTGCTTTGTCCATGAGTCCTTTATACGTGTTCCTTGACCCTTCCCCTTCTTTTCCCTGCACCCCTCCTCCCTCGTCCCCTCTGGTTACTGTTGGTTTGTTTTTTCTCTCAATGTTGCTGGTTAAATTTTTCTTGCTTGTTAGTTTTGTTGATATAGGTGAGATCATATGGTATTTTTCTTTCACCACCTGGCTTATTTCGCTTAGCACGATGCGCTCCAGATCTATCCATGCTGTCGCAAGGGGTGGGAGTTCCTTCTTTCTTTCTGCTCTGTAGTAGTCCATTGTATAAATGTACCACAATTTTTTGATTCACTCATTTATGGATGGGCACTTAGGTTGCTTCAAATACTTAGCTGTTGTGTATTGTGCTGCTATGAACACTAGGGTGCTTAGGTTCTTTTGAATTGGTGTTTTGGGATTCTTAGGGTATAATCCCCGCGGTGGGATTGCTGGGTCAACAGGCAGTTCCATTTTTAGCTTTTCTACTTTTCCACAGTGGCTGCACCAGTCTGCATTCCCACCAACAGTGGACTAGGGTTCCCGTTTCTCCACAGCCTCGCCAGCACTTGCTGTTTGTTGATTTGTTTATGATGGCCATTCTGACCGGTGTGAAGTGGTATCTCATTGTGGTTTTAATTTGCATTTCTCTGATGGCTAGTGATGATGAACATCCTTTCATCTGTCTCTGGGCCCTGTGTATGTCCTCCTTGGAGAAGTGTCTGTTCAGGTCCTTTGCCCATTTTTAAATTGGGTTGTTTGTCTTCCTGGAGGGGAGTCATGTGAGTTCTTTACATATTTTGGAGATCAACCCTTGTCCAAGGTATCATTGTCAAATATATTTTCCCATATGGTATGTTCCCTTTTCATTTTGCGATGTTTTCTTCAGCCGCGCAGAGCTTCTTCTTTTGATGTAGTCCCATTTGTTTATTCTTTCCTTTATGTCCCTTGCTCTAGGGGACATATCGATGAAAATATTGCTGTGTGGAATATCTGAGAGTTTCCTGCCAATGTTCTCCTCTAGGACTTTTACGGTGTTGCGACTTATATTTAAGTCTTTTATCCATCTGGAGTTTATTTTTGTGTATGGTGTCCGCTGATGACCCAATTTCAATTTTTTGCATGTAGCCGTCCAGCTCTCCCAACACCATTTGTTGAAGAGGCTGCTATTACTCCATTTTATGCTTCTGCCCCCTTTGCCAAATATTAGTTGCCCATATAGACATGGGCTTATTTCTGGGCTTTCTATTCTGTTCCACTGGTCTATGGGTCTGTTCTTGTGCCAGTACCAGACTCTTTTGATTACACTGGCCTTGTAATATAGTTTGATGCCAGGTATTGTGATCCCTCCTACTTTGTTCTTCTTTCTCAAAACTGTCGCAGCTATTCGGGGTCATTTAGAGTTCTATATGAATTTTTGAAATGTTTGTTCTATATCTGTGAAATATGTCGCTGGTATTTTAATAGGGATATGTGTTGAATCTATAAATTGCTTTGGGTAGTATGGACATTTTGATGAAGTTAATTCTTCTAATCCATGAACACAGTATATGCTTCCATTTATTTGTGTCTTCCTTAATTTCTTTCTTGTGTCGTTTTTCTGAGTACAGGTCTTTTACCTCCTTGGTTAGGTTTATTTCTAGGTACTTTATTTTTCCTGTTGCTATAGCAAATGGGATTTTTTCCCCTGAGTTCTGATTCTGATATTTCATTGTTGGTGTCCAAAAATGCCTTTCATTTCTGAATATTGACTCTGTATCCTGCTGTTTTGCCAAATTCACTTATTAGGTCAAGTGGGTTTTTGGTGGAGTCTATAGGGTTTTCTATGTACACTATCAGGTGATCTGCACACAATGACAGTTTTACTTCCTCATTTTCAGTTTGGATGCCTTTTATCTCTTTTTCTTGTCTGATCTCTGTGGCTAGGACTTCCAATATTATGTTGAATAGAAGTGGTGAAAGTGGACATCCTTGCCTTGTTCCCGATCTTCGTGGGAAAGCTTTTAGTTTTTGCCCGTTGAGTATGATGTTGGCTATAGGTTTTTCATATATGGACTTTATTATGTTGAGGTATGCCCCCTCTACTCCCACTTAGCCGAGTGTTTGTATCATAAGTGAGTGCTGTACCTTATCGAATGCTTTTTCCACATCTATTAATATGATCATATGATTTTTGTGCTTCCTTTTGTTTATGTGATGTATTACGTTTATTGATTTGCGAATATTGAACCATCCTTGCATCCCTGGGATGAATCCCGCTTGGTCATGGTGCATGATCTTTTTAATGTATTGCTGGATGCGGTTTGCCAATATTTTGTTGAGGGTTTTGGCATCTAAGTTCAGCAGCGATATCGGCCTGTAGTTTTCTTTCTTTGTAGGGTCTTTATCTGGTTTAGGGATTAGGATGATGCTGGCCTCATAGAACGAGTTTGAAAGGCTTCCGTCTTCTTGGACTTTTTGGCATAGTCTGAGGAGGACAGGGGTTAGTTCCTCCTTAAATATTTTGTAAAATTCTCCTGTAAAATGGTCGGGTCCAGGCCATTTGTGTGGCGGGAGTTTCTTGATGACTGCTTCAGTTTCCCCAGCTGTTACTGATCTGTTCAAGCTTTCTGTTTCTTCCTCCTTCATTGTTGGAAGATTATACTTTTCTAGAAATTTGTCCATCTCATCAGGGTTTTCCAATTTCTTGGCATATAACTGTTCATAGTAGTTTCTTAGAATCTTTTGTATTTCTGTGGTATCAGTTGTTATTTCTCCTCTTTCATTTCTGATATTATTTATTTGGGTCCTCTCCCTTTTTTCCTTGATGAGTCCGCTTAAACGCTCGTCAATTTTGTTTATCTTCTCAAAGAACCAGCTCCTGGATTTATGGATCCCTTTGTATTGTTCTTTTCGTCTCTATGTCATTCAGTTCTGCTCTGATCTTGATTATTTCCTTCCTTCTACTCGCTCTGGGCTTGTTTGTTGTTGTTTCTCCAGTTGTTGTTGTTTTTTAAGATTTTATTTATTTATTTTTAGACAGAGAGGAAGGGAGGAGAAAGAGAGGGAGAGAAACATCAATGTGTGGTTGTCTTTCGCGCGCCCCCTACTGGGGACCTGGCCCTCAACCCAGGCCTGTGCCCTGTCTGGGAGTCGAACTGGTGACCTTTTGCTTCTCAGGCTGGCGCTCAGTCCACTGAGCCACACCAGCCATAGCTCACCTTCCATTTTAAGTGAGAGCCTTGCTGGGTAGAGCAGTCTTGTTGGCAGGCCTTTACTTTACGTTAATTGGAATATTTCTTGCCATTCCCTTCTGGCTTGTAGTGTTTCCTTTGATAGGTCAGCTGCTAGTCATATTGGGGCTCCCTTGTATGTTTCCACCTGTTTCTCCCATGCTGCCTTTAAGGTTCTCTCTCTGTTTTTGATATTTGCCATTTTAATTATGAAGTGTCTTGGAGTGGGCCTCATTGGGTTCCTCTTGAATGGGACCCTCTGTGCTTCCTGGACTTGTATGAATAAGGGAAATTTTCCATCATTACTTTTTCGAACAGGTTCACCATCCTTTCCTCCTCTTCTTCTCCTTCTGGCATCCCTATTATATGGATATTATTACGTTTCAGGTTGTCCTGCGTTTCCCTAAGCACCACTTCATTCTTTTTGAGTCTTTTTTCATTTTCTTGCTCTTTCTGGGAGCTTTTTCCTACCTTGTCCTCCAGCTCGCTGATTCAATTCTCTGCTTCCTCAAGCCTGCTTTTGATTCCTTCTACTGTGTTCTTCAATTCAGAAATTGTATCCTTCATTTCCTCTTCCCTCTTGTTGATCGTTTTTATGTCCCTTTTCATGCTGATATAGTTTGCAGTAAGTTCCTTGTAGTTTCCCTGTAGTTTTTGGTAATTCTCTCTGAGCTCACTGAGCTCATTGAGCTTCCTTAGAACCATTGTTTTGAACTCAGTATGTGATAGTTTACTTGCCTCTATTTCACTTAGTTCTCTTTCTGGGGATTCTTCCTTTCCCTTTGTTTGGAGGATGTTTCTTGGTCTTCCCATTATTTGTGAGATTCCTCTTTTTTGCCTCTGCTTCTTAACTTGATCTGTCTTGATTTCCTGACTTTGTGATGTTAACTTCTATGGGTAGAGACTGCTAGGTTTTTTTTTTTCTTTCTGGATCTGCCTCTGATGATGTCAGATGTTGACTGTGTCTGACCTTAGGCAGTCTGTTTGAGATTTCCAGGAATCTACTGACTGTGACTGTCTCCGTCTCTTGTTAATCTAAGAACTCTGCAGTCAGCCATCAGGCTTAGACTCCACAGGGAGGGGCAGAGTCCCTCCTGGTGGCGGGGTTATTGTGCCCTCTCATGGTTGTGTTGCTTAGGGGCGTGGTCTGCCTGAGCCAGATGGCTGTTGCCATATGGGGGATGAGTCAGCTTCAGGATCCCACCAACTACTCTCTCCATTCTCTTTCTAAAGCCTCCTTCTCCAGCCTCTCCTCAAGTGTCTCTAGATCATTCTGCACTCCTTTTATCCAGGGATCTACTAACTGTGGCTGCCACTCTGTACTCAGCTGTCAGGCTTTAGCACCACCGGGCCAGGGCCAGGTCCCTCCTGGGGGTGTGGTTATTGTGTTTTTTCACGCTGCTGTCACACAGGGGAGTGGTCTGCCTGAGCAAGATGGCTGCTGCCACATGGGGGATGAGTCAGCACTGGGATCCCACCAGCTACTCTCTCAGTTCTGCCCCAGAAGCCTCCTTCCCATTTTCTCCTCAGGCATCTCTTGCCCACTCTGCTCCTGCCTTTGCCAGTGACCAGGGTAAGTGGCTGCAAATAAAAATTTATGCATTGGCCCTTTAAATGGCTCTTTGCATCTCCAGCTGCCTGTCTGGCAGAGAGCAACCCTGCCACTTTTCCCACCCTGTGGTTATTTGTGTACTTTTTGGGCTCTGGTGCTGTAGGCTGGAGATCCCCACTTACAGTTTAGACCCCACTCTTCTCAGGGGGTTCAACTGGCCATCTCAATATCCTTCTGGTGCTGCCACTGTGGATGCCCTGCCTACCCTCTCAAGTCTCTACTGTGCTCCTTACCAGTTAGGTTGTGCTAAAGCTGATTTTTCTGTCTGTCCAAACTTATAAGGCTTGCTATTGTCCAGTTGTTTGTTACAGGTGATTTCTCCACAATTTAGTTGTAATTCCAGATTGGTCCTGGGAGGAGGTCAGTGTTACTTCCATTCAGTACTTTGCCATCTTGATTCTCCTAGAACCATTGTTCTGAACTCAATATCTGAGAGTTTACTTGCCTCTCCTTCATTTAGTTCTCTTTCTGGGGAGTCCCTCTTCCTTTCTATTGGAGGGTGTTTCTTTGTCTTCTCTTTATTTGTGAGACTCTTCTTTTTGCTTCTGCTTTTTCAAGTGATATGTCTTGACTTCCTGACTTTGTGGTATGAACTTATATGGTAGTAGACCTGTGAGATTCAGTGGTGCAGCTTCCTTGATCTCCTGAATTTGCTGGTCTTTGGGTGCCTTTTATGAATTATATGTTGGCTCTCTGAAAGTAATTGAGTTTTTATTGTTGTTTGGTGGTTCTTTGGTGGAGCCTACCCTCCAGCTGGTCAACTGAGGGTCACTCTTCCCACCACACCTTGTGTGTTTTTGTGCATGTGCTGCCAGAACAATACCACAAAGCACACAAAACAAACCCACATCTGTAAAAATAACTCCCTCTTGTAATTAATTCCACTATCAACAGTAAATGAACCAGTATTAATAAGGCTGTAAAGTGATTAAGACTATTATAAGAAAAGAGAGACATAAACTATTAGTATAAAATCTAATGACTTAACATGTATAAACTTGATCTGCCCAAAGTGAACGTTAAAAAGCTATGTAGTAAAGAAAATATTGCAAATCATGGAGAAGACCACAGTGGGTTTTGTCTTGGTAGCCTGTAGTATTAACCATTGTTTTTACTTTCTGGACTTGTCTCTGAAAATGTCAGATATTGACCCTGTCTGACCTTAGGCAGCCTGTTCAAGACTTCCAGGAATCTACTGTCTGTGGCTGTCTCATTCAGCTGTTAATCTCTAAATTTTTTTTAAAGGAACTTTTGAATGTAGTGTGTGTATATACATATACACAAGTCACACAGAGTACATGTGTGCATTCTCAGTGACTTTTTGAGGTGAAGTTTAAAATATATCTTTAATTACATTAACTTTAAAATTTCACCCTGAGTAGTTGGAAAATTGGAGCAGTTTATTTAAAAATATATATGTATGGTGAAAAAATAAAGTGAATGTAAAGCAATAAAAATACATATAAAATATGTCATGAAAAATATAGGCCTCTGATTATCCATTCAGCATATAAAGCAGTTATGAAGGCGTAGTTGAACTGAATGAAAGAGTTGTGGATATTCACTAAGGTGAATTTAAGTGAGCCTCTATAGAACTGCCTTATAGAATTAAGACTTATGGACTATGTGTTTAATTACGGAGCTATTGAATGGCTTATTCTACATTCTCATAGAACAATGTTCTGTGGAACCATTCAAAAGTAAGTGCGAAAAATTGTAGAGGCTCATGTTAACTTCAAGGAAAACCAGGGCTGAAGGATGAAGCCCCGCAATGTAATCATTATGCCCTCAGCTTCCAGGATAAATGTCACCATGATTCTCCTCAGAGGCTGAAATGGTAATCAAAATGTATCTAATGGATTAGATTTTTAAAATATTTTCTTTTTCAGGTAAAGGATGGCCTTAACCAGAAGCCAGAAAAAGGACAAAATGGAATTAGGTACATGTATTTCTTTAAAAATTAAGTTATTTCAGCTTCTTATGGAAGTAATGCATACCTGTAGTAAAATCCGACTGTAAAATGATATAAAATGAGACTATGGGTTTACCCCAAGAAGGTAAAGTTGATTCAATTGATTCAGTATTTTAAAAAATTGCTCAATATAATTCATTATCTTAATAAACTAAAGAGGAAAATCCGTGAAATCATATCAATTGACGCAGAAAAAGCATTTGATAAAATTCAGTATCCATTTATGAGAAAAACTGTCAGTAAACTAGTAAGTAATTGAAGGGAACTTCCTTTCTCAGAAAAAAGATATCTAAAAAAACTCTCCAAGCTACCATTATACTTAATGGTGAAAGTCAAAATGCTCTCCCCATAAGATCAGAAACAAGGCAAGACCATCTATTCTCTTTACTCATATTCAACATCCTTCCAGAGGCTAATGCAGTATGACAAGAAAAAGGAGTAAAAATATCTATATTGAAAAGGAAGGAACAAAACTCACTACTCACAGGTGGTATAATTATCTGCATAGAACATCCCAAGAACTCTACAGTTAAAAAAAGCTCATGGAATCAATAAGTGAGTTTAGAAAGAATGCACAATACAAGACCAACCACAAATCAAGCATATTTTTTGTACACCAACAGTGACTCGTTGGAAGCTGAAACTTTAAATAGCCAGTATAATAGCTCCAAAAGAGATCTTGCTACCCCAGCTTTTTTTTCTATTTGCATAAAATATCTTTATCCATCCCTTTATTTCAGTCTGTGTATCTTTTGTTCTGAAGAGGGTCACCTGTGGTCAGCATATATATATATGGGTCTTGTTTTCTTGTCCATTCAGCTTCCCTGTGTCTTTTTATTGGGGCATGCAAGCCATTTACATTTAAAATGATTATTGATAGGCACATATTTATTGCCATTTTATTCTTTTAAGTATGTTCCTCTGGGTTTTTTTCTTCTTCCTTTAACATTTCTTGTAATACTGGTTTGGTGGTAAGAAACTCCTTTAGCTTTTTCTTGTCTGGAAAGCTCTTTATTTCTCCTTCAATTTTGAATGATAGCCTGACTGGGTAAAGTAGTCTTGGTTGCAGATAATTGCTTTTCATCACTTTGAATATTTCATGTTAATATTTACTGGCCTGAAAAGTTTCTGTTGAGAAATCAGCTGTCAGTCTTATGAGAGCTCCCTTGTAAGTAACTGTCTTTCTCTTGCTGCTTTTGAGATTTTTTTCTTTGTCTTTAACCTATGCCATTTTAATTATGATGTGTCTTGGTGTGGGCCTCTTTGATTCATCTTATTTGGAACTCTCTATGCTTCCTGGACATGTGGGGTTTTTTTTTCCTTCACCAAGTTAGAGAAAGTTTTGGTCATTCTTTTTTCAAATAGGCTCTTGATCCCTTGCTCTCTCCCTTCTCTTTTTGGCACTCCTATAATGTTGAATGATGTTCACTTCATGTTGTCCCAAAAGTCCCTTAAACTATCCTCATTCTTTTTCATTCCTTTTTTTTTTTTTTTTTTTGCTGCTCTCACCTTCCAAATCACTGATTCAGTCCTCTATTATATCCAACCTGTCTACTGCATTCTTCATTTCAGATATAGTATTCTTCATTTCTGACTTTTTTATGATTTCTGTGTCCTTTTTCACAGAAATCATGTTGTAGTTCTCACTAAGTTCCTTGTAGTTCTTATTAAGTTTCTTTGAACATCCTTATAACCATTTTTTTCTGAACTCTATATCTGATAAGTTGCTTGCCTCCATTTCTTTTAGGTATTTTTATGGAGATTTCTCCTTTCATTTGGGACATGTTTCTTTGTCTCCCCATTTTAGCTGCCTCTTTGTGATTCTTTCTATGCATTAGGTAAATCTGCTGTTGTTGTCAGGGTGAGGCCAGCATCATTTATCAGGCCCACAGAGACCAAGATTTGGCCATGTAAAGGGAGGGTCAGACATACAAGGTAAATAAGGCCACCATCCTAGAGCCACACAACTCAGTCTGTTCTAGCTTCTTCCCAGAGCCTGAGAGGAAATGCTGATAAGGCTTGTGGGGAAGCCAGGAGAGTGGTCCCCACCCAAGAGTCACATAATTCAATCTGTCCTGGATTCTTCCTAGCCCTTGGCATGGCAGATCCTCCAGGAGTCAGGGGAATGGAACCACTGGGATCCCAGAGAGTGGGGCTTGCAGGTCTTCTCTGAAGAGGAGGTACCAAGTCAGTTGTCAAGGGAAGATGCAGGAAATATCTCCCATCCCAAAGTCACACAACTCAATCACTGATATCCCCTGAGTCTGGATCTCTATATCCTGACCCAGGCAGCTGACTCCTCAGCAGGATGCAACTCCACATGGCTGGCCAACAGGGAGTCCAGAGGGTGGGGCTGCTGCATCCCCCCAAGCTGATGCCATATAGAAGGGAGTGTTCCACCCAAGAAAGTTGGCATCTATGGTGTGAAAGCAGAACTCAGCTCAGGGATCCTGGTGGCTGTCCCTTCAGCTCTCCCCAGGAGCCACAAACCCCAGTCTCTCCTCATGTGATTCTAGGCTCCCTCCACCAGAGCCTAAGGTGAGGGGCTGTAAATGAGATTTTGTGTGTTGGCCCTTTAAGAGGGCACCTGTGTCTCTAGCAGACTTCCATCTCTCCCTGGTAGATAGAATCCCCACTGATTTTCATAGCCAGATATTATGTGGATGCCTCTTCTTGGTTCTGGTACTCTAGGCTGGGGAGTCCAGCTTCAGGTTGAGATCCCACATTTCTCAAGTAGGACCCCCAAAGCTGAGATATTCTTCTGGAATCTCAATCACCGCCCATGGGAGCAGGGCAGGTCTTTTCACATCTTCACCCTCCCTACCAGTCTCGATGTGTCTTCTTCTATAAGTCTTTGGTTATAAGACTTGTCTTCAACTGGTCTTCCATTGATTATTCAGATTGAATGATCTATAATTTAGTTGTAATTCCAATTTCGTCCTGGGATGAGGTGAATGTATCTTCCATTTACTCCACCACCATCTTGGATCCTTCTATCTCATGCATTTTTTGACATTATATATTACTAAATATGTATGTGTCTATAAACAATATGTTTTTTACTATGTTTTTAAGTAATGTTATTGTCATGTGTATATGTCATTCTGCAATAATATAAATATTACAAAATATTATTTTAATGTTTTGCCATATTGATGTCCACTGTATAATAATTTATTGTATGGGATACCACAATTTATCCATTCCTCTTTCAAGGAAATTTAGGCTTTTTCCATTTTTCCAAACAATGCTGAAATCTACATTCATGTGTTTCTTTGTCCACATGTGGATGTTTCTCTAGGGCAGTGGTCTTTATAAACCTTTCATCACATTCAATAAAAATATTTTGAGCACACACCGACAGTGTATGAATACAGTATCCTTTATGAATTTGTATATATAACCTACTGTACCAAATTAATATGTGCCTCATAGTAATATAAAAAAAATATTAAAAAATGGGAAAAGTGAAAAAACATTTTACAAATATTTTTATTCATTATGGGTACAGAAATAATTAGTGTAGATAATTTGATTGTGTGCTTCATTCATTTCTTTAAAAAAAAATCTCAATTTTAAGACTTGAAAAAAAAGTTATGCAGAGTCCTGGTTTTAAGTTTGGTTTATTTCAATTGTCATACAGATAAAAATACTTTAAGGAAGGAGTGAGGGTAAGGCATAAATGGCTTTAAGTGGGTTCAAAAAGAAAACTTCATTTAAAAAGTTGTAAAAGTTTTATGATCCAACATCTAAATCATAGGGATGCCAGTAGGAGAAGAGGAAGAGCAAGCAATTTAAAACTTATTTGAAAAAATAATGAAGGAAAACTTCCCCAATCTGGTGAAGGAAATAGACTTCTAGGAAGTCCAGGAAGCTCAGAGTGTCCCAAAGAAGTTGGACCCAAGTAGGTGCATACCAAGACACATCATAATTACTACCCAAGATTAAAGATTAGGAGAGAGTCTTAAAAACAGCAAGAGACAAGGAGACAGTTACCTACAAAGGAGTTCCCATAAGACTATCAGCTGATTTCTCAAAAGAAATTTTGCAGGCAAGAAGGGGCTGAAAAAAAGTTTTTAAAGTCATGAAAAGCAAAGGCCTGCATCCAAGATTATTGTATCCAGCAAAGCTATGATTTAGACTGGAAGGGCAGATAAAGTGCTTCCCTGATAAGGTAAAGTTAAAGGAGTTCATCATCACCAAGCCCTTATTATATGAAATGTTAAAAGGACTTATCTAAAAAAAGAAAGATAAACTATGAACAGTAAAACAGAGGGGTGAGGAGGGGGAAGAATGCAGGAAAAGGTACAGGGAATAAGCAACATAAATAGTAGGTACAAAATAGACAGGGGGAGGTTAAAATTAGTATAGGAAACAGAGGAACCAAAGAACTTATGTGTACGATCCATGGACATATAAAGGGAAGGAATGCTGGAGGGTGGGGCATGTAGGGTGGAGGGGAATAAGGGAGAGAAAAAAATGGGACAACTATAATAGCATAATGATTAAAATATATTTTTAAAAAAGATTACATTAACTCCAAAAAATAAAGTTGTAAAAGTTTTAACAAGTGCTAGAACAACTGGAAATTCACATGCAGAAGAGTAAAGTTAGATTTTTACAACCTGATACCATACACAAAAATTAACTCAATGGATCATAAAGGTAATATAAAGAAAATAATAAAATTTGTAGAAGAGTAACAGAAGTAAATGCTTGTGACCTGGGTTAGGTAATGGTTTCTTAGGTATGAAACCAAAAGCACAAGCAACAGAAGAAAATAATAACTTGAGCTTCACCAAAATTGAAAACTTTTGTGCTACAAATAATATCATCAGAAAAGTGAAAAGATAATTCACAAAATGAGAAAAATGTCTGCAAATCATATATCTAATGAGAGATTTATATTCAGAATATACAGGGTCTGGTACAAATAACACCCTTTTTATTATAGAATCTTTTATTACAAAATAATGAGCATGTAATTCTGTAACATAACAATATCACACTCAAGCACACCATATGACATTTTAGGTGAAATGTTCAAATTAAAACTATAAATTATTATACCCATATTACTACCCTACCAACCACACCCAAGCAGGCATTACTTCTGTTGGACCCTGTATAAAGAATTCTTATAGGTCAGTAATAAAAGGACAGATATCCCAATTTTTTACAGGGGAAAATATTTAAACTGAAATTTTTCCAAAGAAAATGTACAAATGGCCAAAAACCCATGAAAAGTTTCTCAAAATCATTAGTCATTAGAGATGACTATGACTTGAAAAATGAAAAGACCATAATGAAATACCACTTCAAACTTACTAGGCTCTAATTAAAAAAAAAAAAAAAAAAAAAAAAGGCAGTAAAAAGTGTTAGCAAGGATGTGGATAAATTGGAATCTTTGAAAACTGCTGATGGAAATGTAAAATGATGCAGCCACTTAGAAAAACTTTTCTTCAAAATGTTAAACATAGAGTTACCATATGATCCAGCAAGTTCACTCCTACGAATGTGCCCAAAAGAAATGAAAACATATGTTTACCCAAAAACTTCTATATGAATGTTCATAGCAGCATTACTGACAATAGATGAAATGTGGAAACAACTCAAATGACCATCAAGTGATAAACAAACTGGGGTCTACCCATACAATAGAATATTATTCAGCCTTAAAAAGGAATGAGGTACTGATATATGCTATGAATGCACCTTAAAAACATTATGCTAAATAAAAGAAACCAATCAGAAATACTTCATACTATATAATTCCATTTACATGAAATGGCAAGCAAATCCATAAAGACAGAGAGCAGATTAGTGGTTGCCAGGGACTGGGGGAGGGGCCATGGAGAGTCACTGCTAATGAGTATTGAGTTTCTCTTTGGAGTGATGAGAATTAGATTACTGCGATAGTTGCACAACCCTGTGTACATACTAAAGCCATTGAATTGTATACTTTAAATGGGTGAATTTTGTGGTATGTAAATTTATTTCACAAAACTGTTTAAAAAAAAAAGGAACCAATCTCTAGTCACTTTGGTTATTCTTTAAGGAACTGGTCCCATCTTGTCATTTTCTCAGATGGTTCCCATTCTCCATACCTCATTCCATGATCACTTTGTAGCCTTAAACCCTGGTAGTCCTAAGAGGACTAAACTAACTTGAGCCTTAATGGGACCCTACCACTGACTGGGCCTGATCACAATTATTAAAGCATAATAGATCTTGAATCTCTGCTCTCCTCACCCTTCAAAGCACTCAAAGTGTGTTTGCTACTTATGCTTTATTTTCTATGTGTTCAAAACACATCTGGAATGCATAATGTTGCATTTTTTTCAGATTATTGTATTCTTTTTGGTATCTTACACAGGTTGAGATATTATGTCAGGAGGATAATAGTACTCTAGTATAGTTCTTTAACCTTACAGTGAGATTTATTTGGAGTCTTGTAAGTTATAAAGCCAGGCCCCAGGCCCAAGGGTCTACTTCCTAAATTCACATTCTCCCCACTGTCTCTCTTTTGAGTGGTTCATATTAACCTTTGATAAAAGCGGCTTTGACAGTTTGGAGCACATTAGTTCTACCTATTAGACTCCTTGGGACACATCAGGTTCAGTTTCCTATACTAATCATCTATCAATGTAAGGTTTACATCACTATCAAGTGCCTAAGGATGTCAGGACCTGAGTTTAATTCATAACTTCTCACCAATTTCTGCTTTTCATCTCCATCACTTTTGCTCTAAAACTTCTGAAGCAAGGAACATAAAGGAATAGCTACCCTCTTGAAGGGAAAGAGATCAATACCTATTTCAGCCCATATTTAATATCCCAAACATCATTGAAATAGTTCCCAGTTACAATGTACTTAGAACAGTTCCTGGTATTTAACTATATTAAAATTTTAGGTGTGTTCTCGTGAATGGGTGAGCAAGGGCCAAGCCCGGGGTTGCTTACTTTCTGCCTTTACTCTAGAAATCTTCTGTAAACATCTTCAACTCCTTCTGAGAGGGAGTATATCCCAACTTCAGCTGCATATACTGTAATTTAGAGCTAATCATTCTTTAGCCCAGTCACAAGACAGATTTCTGTTTTCTGTTTCAGATTTGTAAATGCTTTTGGTGGGAGCTTCAATGTCACAATGGATGGGAAAGTATATGAACATGTCAGCAGTCACAATGCCAGCAAATACAAGTTTTTTCCTTCTGGCATGTAAGTACCTATATTGGACACTTTGTTCCAAAATTCAAAAATTTCAATCTTACTCTTTAAACAATATATTGAAGCTTTTAAAAAATTTTATTGTTATTCTACTACAGTTGTCCCAATTTTTCCCCCTTTGCCCTCCTCTGCCCAGCCAATCCCCTGCTCCCACAGTCACTCCCCACACTGTTGTCCATGTCCGTGGGTCATTCATACATTTTCTTTGACTAATACGTTCCCCTTCTTTCCACGATTATCCCTCTCCCCCTTCCCCACTGGTTATTGTCAATCTGCTCCATGTTTCCATGCCTCTGAATATATTGAAGCTTTTAATACCAAGAATGTTAACCTATATTATTCTTTCCTTCCACAGAAAAAACATCACACTAAGTTCTGCAGAGATCCCAGAAACCTGCAACAATTCTTTTACATCCAACCTTAGTTTTGGTAGTGCATATACCTATGTAATCATCAGGAAGGTTAGTAACCCATTCAATCAAATCAGAAGTGCTTCTCAAACTTTCTTCACCTGAGTCCTCACAAACACCAAGGACATAGTTATGATTTAAATCGAGTGTTATTAAGATCTGTATTTTAAATGGGCTTAATTAGAATTAAGTTTACCACCAAGTCTTTAACTTATCGTTGACTTAAGTTCACCATTAAAATAAAACTGAACAGATGATTTACTCTCACTAGAAGTTCACGTTGACCAGTATTTGATACTCTTAGTTCACAGAGATAACAATGTTTTAAACAAAACTGACTGCCAATCTACTCTCTTATTTAAAAGGAAAATACTAGTGAACATATTTTCAAATCCCACTTGGCTATCTCATCACAAGTAAAAAACACAATGTTATATATTTTCATTGAAAATGTTTACTTGATAAATCATATGACATAACCCTAGAAGTCAAAACTCAACTTGCCAGTTCGAACAATTCTTACTTTAGAAGCAATCTTGATTTTAATTTCTTTTTCTTACTTTTGCCTTATTTGTTTAGGATGATGGCTGCCCTGAACTGAAAGAATTTGAAGATATTTCACCCAATTCAGTTAGCATGGCCCTGCAAATCCCACAGTATTTCCTCCTCACCTGTGGGGAAGTGGTTTTCTCTGTCACAGGATTGGAGTTCTCATATTCTCAGGTTTCTTGTTCATTGTTTTTACCACCCTTCCTCTGAATCCCTACCTTCAAAATGCTGCTGGGCCTTCATTTAAATCTGGGTTAGACATACATTTATAATGTAAAATAATTCTAGAAAGCATTATGGTATATTCCACCAAGCAAGGTTTTTGAGGTCAACACTCCTACTATTTATATTGACTAAGAATATTACTGTTTAACTTCATGAGTGCATATATCACGTCTATATTCCCACAGTCATACACAGAGGTTTATACTCCTAAGTAGGAAAAACTATATTAACAGTGGTTACAAAGGTCATGATAGTCAGGTGACTCTGCTTTCTGAAACAACCCAATGGTATCAACAATTCATAACAGTGCTCATTTCCAGGTCTGTGTTCTCATTATCTTTAAGGTTCTGAGGTCTCTCTGTAGCTCCTAGTAAATACTGATTAAGTCCTAGATTTTAAACATTAAAAAACTATTGCTTTATGAAGATTATACTAATGAGGCAAATTTTGCTGATATCTGACTTATAGTTTAATTTCTAAATGATTTTAACAAAGCTGCAGTTATAGTCATTGTATCCCCATAATATCTAGTACATTCAAGTTTTTAGTAGATTGTAAATATGAGCTGGATAACCTCTTTCTGTGGTGATCTCAGTCTAATAAAGGAGATTATATAACAGATAACAAGAGTTTGAAGAGAGGTTTTAGTGACGTGGCAGGGAAGCTCACAAAAGAGCAAGCTCACAGCCTCCAAACAGCAGCCTCCACGTGCCGGGGAAAAGTGTCACGCTGGATGTCTTTGCTTGGAAACTCTTCTACAGAAATAGAATCAGTTCATCTGTAGAGCTGTCTGTTTAACTAGGATGGCAACTTTGCAAGTATGTAGAAAGTGCAAAACAAGAGCTTCTTATAGATTTGCACAACTTGAGGATTTGGGGTATCTTGCTATACAAGCAATTATCCCTTTTATATTCAAGCCAGCCTGACTTTTAATGTGCATTTTTAGCATGACTGCTTAATTAAATGAATTGATGAGTTGTGTTCACTTGCTGAAGATGAGATCTGGATTGGGATTCTCTTTGCTTCCTCAGGCTCCTTCCAACATGAAGTCAGTGCTTCAAGCAGGATGGTTGTTGACAGTGGCTGTTGGCAACATCATTGTGCTGATTGTGGCAGGAGCAGGCCAGTTCAGTAAACAGGTAGGTATGATATGGAAAAGGAAATGTACCTTTGTCTTATTAATGGTCATCATGATGTCCCTCCCAAGCCATTTACATTTACATGGTCATCTCAGCTACTGGCTGAATAAAACTTCCAGACTGGCCAGACAGGATGGTTACCAAATGGTGTTATGGCCAAGCATGTGCTGATTCTTCTTATTTCCACCGGGTGTTATGCTGTTGAAAATTGACAACCAAAATAACCAGATTGTGTTAACATACATACACCCTAATGTCGTTTACTAGCGAAGAAAAGATCTCTCCTAGCTTCAGTGAATGTAAGTTAATAGTCCCAAAGCAGACATGTTATCCAGAAACTGTCATAATTATTAAAGTTAAAGCCATTCTAAAGATCATTGTAATTTTTTCCAGCTAAAGTAAGGGCTTTTTATGATTTTTAAACTCTCTCCTTCAGCATATCAGCATATCTACCCTATAAGGGAGTTATCCCTCACACCACCCCATCAGTTTCATTACTTCCCCTTCCGGGTCCCATCAGGGTGTGCTCTTGACCTCAGGGTACTGCCAAAGGATAACAGGAGGCTCTTAACTGCAAAGAGTTCAGCATATTCTTCTTTTGAGTGCCTTGTATTCTCTTGGTCTCCATCCTTTTAAGGGCCAACTATGTGCCTTAAGACTGGAGTTTTTCAGAAATTTTCTCTCATCTTCCCAAAGTCTTGTGTTTCTGTATTCCATTGTTGTTAGAAAAATGTTTTCTTGAAACTTGAGCATTCACAAAAGCTGGCCCTTCTATATCTGTGTCAATAACTGACCTTTCTATGTTTATAGCAGAAGCCTACCAACTTTCCCTAACAATTTAATTTTAAAGCACCTTCCATCTGGACATAGCAAGAAAATATACACATGATATATACACTACTATAACTGATTTTGTTTTTGTTTGTTTCTTCCTCCAACTCCAATTCCTTCAAAGTGGGCCGAGTATATTCTGTTCGCTTCGTTGCTTCTGGTTGTATGCATAATCTTTGCCATCATGGCTCGATTTTATACTTACATCAATCCAGCAGAGATTGAAGCTCAGTTTGATGAGGATGAAAAGAAAAAGAAGTCAGAAAACCTATATAGCACATTGGATCCCGTCTCACAAACAAGGATGTGAATGTCAGGAAGCCAGTGAAGGATGGAGTGGGCCCAGAACATGCCCTGACAGCTGTCCCCAGTTGGCAGGACACTGTTGGATAGCCCCTGATGGGGAAAACTTCAGAATTATGAACCAGATCAAGAAAGCATCTTTTGAAGCAGCCATCAGTGAACATAAAACTCTGGAAGATACCTTTTTTTAAAGAGAAAGTCTTATTTAATATATGCATGCATGCACACTCACACTTTTACACACTGAGATCATACCATGCATTTAACTCCTTTCCTATCACACAAATAAAGTTATTTTGGACTGACTTAATTTTTTGAAAGGATGACAAAAGTTCCATATTGTTTGCATTCTAGTACTGTATAAAAACAATGTTAAGCTAGACCAGAGACAATGTGAAAGTGAATTTGTAGGTTTAAGGATGCTGTATAATAAGCTAGTATTAACCAATACCTTTACCTTTTTTTCCAGTCCTGTACCTTTTTTAAATTATGTGTAACTCAAAAGATCACCCGGGTAAAAGCCAGTAATGATTTTTGGAGTCTCAATGGTATGAAATAAATTCCCATTCTTAAGAATCAGTTTCTGTGTGTCTTTGGGTAGGGTAAGAAATTCTTAACATGTTTTTTGGTTATTAAAGCTGTGCACAGAGTAAAATTTCATCAGAAATTGATAAAAGCATGAACAAAAGAAATTCTAACATATAATAAATTCTAGGAATATGAAATATAGAGATTTGTGTGTTTCTGGTTTTAGTTTCCCCAGGAAGAGATGGAGAGAGATATTTCTCTTTTTTTTTAAGATTTTTATTGTTTGTTTTTTTATTTATTTATTTTTAGAGAGGGGAAGAGAGGAAGAAAGAGGGAGAGAAACATCAGTGTGTGGTTGCCTCTCGCTCACACCCTACTGGGGATCTGGCCTGCAACCCTGACTGGGAATCAAATTGGTGACCCTTTGGTTCACAGGCTTGCACTCAATCCATTGAGCCATATGAGGCAGGGCCACTTCTCTTTTATTACTAGGATCTTTCTATGTGCATATTTACATACTATCTCAAAGTGTTTTTCTCAATACTCATTAGCATTTTCTGCTTGAATAAAAATTCTTCCAAAACATTATAAACACTTAATGCCTAATTTATTCTATAGATACTTATCCTTTAACCATTCCCAGGTTTCAGAGCCAAAACAAATCTATGTTGGTACTCTTGTAAAAAGAAGCAAACATTCTTAGACAAACTTGTACACAGCTCTGAATGTTGGAACTGGTGCCTGGATTAGAAGGGAGGGCCCATGTTAGACATGCTTCATGCACAAACTTGTCATTGCACTATAGAGAGAGAATGAAACTGGTGGGGGAAGTAGGAGACTCAAAATCCAGAGCAAGAAATACACATGTAGTGATCACACCTTGCTGAAGACCTTCTCTACCCTTAAGATCAAGTGCTCATTCTTTAACTGGGGCCCATGAGGCTCCTTTCTCTCTGCTCACTCTGATCTAATCAACATTGACTTTCTTCTAGTTCCCAGAATGCATCAAGTTCTTATTTCCAGGTCAAAGGCTAAAGAAAACTCAGATTCTGAGATACTTATTCTCTACCTACTGCTCACCCACACCCTCCACCTGGCTCGATCCTCTTCATTTTCAGGGCTCAGGCCACGTCAAGAGTTTCCCTGGCCCCACTCCCCTACTTCACGTTGTGCCTCCTTTGAGGTCTCTGCCATGACGCACCCTCAATGTACTATAACTATATAGCTTTCCCTGGACTGAAAGCTTTCTGCATATACTCTGTTCTGCATTTGTGGAGAATGAACACAGATATGGTAGGTCTTTATGTGTTAAATAAATGTTTTAATCCTCTTGGGCTCTGAGAAGTGAGATGGAAGAGGAGGAGAACTAAACGTTAAATAATTATTTGAATGGGCCTAATTAATGAACTCTAGTGTAACAGACTAGCTATAAGGAACAGCTAATTTTGCCTCTGATCATTATTACCTTCTAATTTCTATATTTTCCTTTGATGGGTAAGCCTATAGTTACAGTGATGAGCACTCAGTTTTCATTACTTCTCTTGTCAATAATCAAAGGAAAACTAATCCTAAATCTGCAAATGATATTCTAGTTCTAACTCCTCTTATAGGCTCAGGGAACTTTGGGCCACTCTGGACTTTTTACATCTCATTTTCTTCTCCTACAAAACAAAGAGAACACTGTTTGATCTGAGGTCTTAAAAATCCTTTGTTCAAGAATGTCTGGCACACAATAGGCTTCCAAATATTTGAATGAAGTCCTGCTCCTTTATGAACTCTGACGTTAACACTATAGATGGCTTTTATGTATGGATAGAAATGACTCCTGCATCATCTTCATTGGCCTTTAAACAATATGATGAAGCATGGTAGGGAACTGGAGCACTTGGCTCATTAGGGCTGAGTTTTCAGAATAATCTTCTAAATACAATCAAAACTGATGGGTGTTCTAGATGTGAGACATTGGACAATGGCAAATGTCATGGGGTATGGGTGGCAGAGAGGGACGCATAAGGCCAGATCAATAACTTCTGATCTTGTGCCCTTAGCCCCCATTTGTTTGTGCTTGATGCCTTTCTCTAAGTTCTGGGGTGATCGGTGTATAACCAAAATAGTACTAACATGTACTATTGGCTGACTGCTGAAGTACAATTCATGGGATGGAGAGCATAGAAATGCTTTCCCTGAAAATAGCAGGACTACCCTGGCTGGATAGCTCAGTTGCTTGGAGCATCATCTTGATGTGCTGAGGTTGAGGGTTTGATCCCCTGTCAGGGCACATACAAGAATCAAAGCATGAAGCATCAATAACTGGAATAACAAATCAATGATCACTCTCCCTCTCACTCTCTAAAATCAAAAAATTTTTTAAAAATTAAATAGCAGGGCTTTATTGTTTACACTTAAAAAGCCAGAATATTGTGAGGTTTATAACGTTTATATGAATTTTTTTTATTTAATATATTGACCTATTCTTGATCTGATTCCACATTTATCTATATATTTTTTTATTTTATGGATGTTCTTTAGTTCTTTCAGTGTACTAAAATAATTTTTGTGATCTATCTTAGACTTTATAAAAATTACTTTATTAAATGTATGTTCAGGTTTGATTTTTATAGGCCATTTTAACCATAGATTTTGTCATGCATTGTGAAATTTTTTTGGCAACCTCATTTTTTAAAATATTTTATTTATTTTAAGAGAGGGGGAGGGGTGGAAGAAAAAGAGGGAGAGAAACATCAATGTGATAGAGAAACATTGATCAATTGCCTTCTGTATGGGCCCCAAGTGGGGACCAAACATGCAACCCAGGCATGTTCCCTGACTGGGGATCAAACAGGTGACTTTTCACTTTGCAGAACAATGCCCAACCAACAGAGTCTACGCCAGTCAGGACTGCAGCCTCATTTTTTAATGATAAACAATAGTTAATACTTTTTAGACACTGAATATATGTAGATAGCATGTTGTGTTTATTACATGAAGTTCACAAGCATGTAATCCTCATAACAGCCCTATAATGTATATTACTATTTTTATTCCCATTTCACCGAGGAGAAAGCAGGCATAGAGAATCCAAGTAATCTGCCCTAGGTCATGTCTGGCTCCTGAGCCCAGGCTGGCAGACACTACACAAACTTCCCTTTTGACGCCAATGTTTAATGGGTAGTGTGGATGGACTCAATTTAATCCTTATAATGATACCAAGAAAGGCCTTATTACCCCTGTATTAGCAATAAGAAAACTGAGGACTCTCCAGCTTAAGTAACTTGCCCAAGGCCATACATCTAGCAATTGGCTCAGCCAGGATTTGAAGCCAAGCATGTCTGAGTAGAAAGGCCCATCTCTTAACAACCAGGTTATGCTGTCTCTTTTCATGAAATGAAATGCAAACATGAGACAGTGGAGGTGATGCAAAGGGGCCAAGAGCAAACATCAGAGAGGCAATAATCCCTTGAAATCCAGGGTGGACACCTCAGGGCTGACCTGGAAGGACAAGAGGTGCTGTGTGTAGGGAGGAGTGGCTGGTAAGTCCTGCTCTCAAAGGATTAAACAGAAAATATTAAACACATTTACCACATAAGAAGGACTCAGGGGACTTATGACCAAGATGGAAGCATAGGTAAACATTGTGCTTCCCTCCTTGCACAACCACAGCAAAATTACAATTAAAATATAGAACAACCAACATGCAGAACCATCAGAGTTGTATAAAAGTTGGATAACTAAGGAACTGAGGAAAATCAAGATGATGGGGGAGTGAGTGGAAGTCACATTGACCTCCTCCTAGGACAAACCTGGAATTACAACTAAATTGTGGAGATGTCTCCTGGAACAAATAACCGAACAACAGTGAGAGAGGAGCCTTGTAACGTCAGAGACAGAAGAATCGGCTTTAGCCCAATCTAACTGGTAAAGAGTGCGGAAGAGACTCAAGAAGGCAGGTGGGGTGCCCACGGGCAGAAGCACCAGAAGGATGTTGAAACGGCCAGTTGGACCCCCTGAGAAGAGAGGGGTCTAAACCAAAAGCGGGGATCTCTAGCCCATAGCACCATAGCCCAAAAAGTACACAGAAAACAGCCAGGGGCAAAATGCAGCAGGGTTGCTCTCTGCCAGAGGCCGGCAGCTGGTGATGCAAAGAACTGTTTAAAGGGCCAACACATAAATTTTCATTTGCAGCCTCTTACCCTGGTCTCCGACAAAGGTGGGGGCAGAGTGGGCTAGAGATGCCCGAGGAGAGACAGGGGACTGAGGCTTTGGGGAGAGAACTGAGAAAGTAGCCGGTGGGATCCCAGTGAGGATTCCTCCCCCATAGGGCAGCAGTGTGAGAGGACCCAATAACCCCACCCACAGGAGGTACTCTGCCCTGCCCTGGGCTGTCTAAGGCAGCCTGCTGAGTGCAGAGTGATTAGATTAACAGCTGAAGCAGACAACCACAGACAGTAGATTCCTGGAAGTCTTGCACAGACCGCCTAA